CATTCTATGCTATAAAATATTCTTTCCAACTTATTTATTTTTAATTGAAGAGCTTGTATCTCTTCTGATTTTGTAACAACCTCATTTTAACACTAGTAAGGGAAATATTTTTCTGAGTAATCTGATTTTTGAGTTCTTTCGCATCATCTTCAAGTTGGTATACATGCTCTAAAAAGCTTTTATTATTTTTTATCAAAAGATTGCATTTAGTACCAAACTAATTATCCAAGCTTAAAGTAATATTTAGGTTATGCTTTATGCAAGTAAATTAGTTCTCAAATTTAGTTCAGCTGAACGAATATCAATTAGATAATGACTTTTCAAGTTTATTGCCAGATATCAAAGTTATTCTATTATTTCAGCATATGTATATTTACCATATGAATTTATTTGAAGGTAAAATATTTTATGATTTTTTTTTAAGACAAGTCTCTCATTTTTTTAGCAAAAGTAAATAATGCAAATAATTATCATTTATATATATATATTTTTTCAAATATAAAGAAAGGGATTTAGAATCAAATCAATATCAAACTAATAAAAAACTAGTTTAAAATAAATATAATATTTAAAACATATATTTTAAACTTATTTTATATTTGAATTAAGCTTATAGTAAGCTACATAATAGAGGAAGTAAATTTATATATATATCAAATTAATATTAAACCAATGCTAAATATAAATTTTTACAAGTTTTTTATTGGTATTATATAAATTTATTATTTAACATTGATCAAAATCAAAAAAATCAGATATGTGATAAATCGTCTATTAATCATCTGTCAATCAAACATAATCATCAATTAGCCAAAAATCAACCTAAATCAACCTATCTGATTTTTAGTCTATTGGAGTTAAGCCAAAATTTCAATTCCAATTGGTCTAATCAGATAATGCAAAATCATATAATTGAAAACTTCATACCAAAAGAACGATAGAAATTGTCTTTAAGAGAAGATACAAATTGTTTCTAAGAAATAATAAAGATAATTATTCTTTTTAGAATAATACATTATCATTCAAGAAGAACAATTTAAAAATTGTCTCTTTGTGATGATATATCATTATTCGATTTAAATGATTTAACATTGTTCCTTTTGAAATAATTATCATTCATTAAGAATGATTTAACATCGTTTCTTTTGAAATGATAATCATCTGATTTGAATGATAAAAAATCGTTCAATTTGAACAATAAAAAATCGTTTCTTATGAAACGATTCAACATCATTCTTTTTGGAATGATGATAGTTCAATTTGAACGATAAAAATAATTTTTTTGGAATGATGATCATTCAATTTGAATGATAAAAAATCATTTTTTTTGGAACAATTATCATTCATTAAGAATGATTCAACATCGTTTCAATCAGATGATGCAAAATTGTCTGATTAGAATAATCAATCTATCATCCCTTCAGGATGATATATTATCATTCAAACTAACATCATCATTCTAATTAAATGATAAAAAGTTGTCTGATTAGAATGATCAAATAATCGTCTCCTAAAAGATGATACAAAGCATTCAATAGAAATGATGTTTCAATTAGACAATACAAAAATTATCTAATTGGCTAGAGAATTATAAATAAATTTTGTATTAATCGAAAACTTTTGGATTAATCTGAAAAAAAAATTTCCTTTTTTTAACCTTTTTCCTTTCTTTTTTCTATATTTTTTTTCTTATTTTGAAGACTTTTACCATTTTTTTTTAGAAAAATTCTTATTTTGGAAATATGATAAATCATTCTTTGAATGAAAATTTACTATTTTTCTTATTTTCTTGTTTTTTTTTTAGTAAAAATGGGTACCATAATTAAGAAGTTGCAACTCGATAAGTTGTAACTTGAGTTACAACTTGGTTGCAACTCCTTGTAAATTTATTTTAATATAAAAATTCATAAATGTTGCAACTCAAAGTGTTGCAACTTAAATTGCAACTAGTTAAAAATTTTAAAAATAATTATGGGAACCATCTTTATTTTTTAGGAAAATTTTCATTTTAAAAATAAGTAAATCAGAAACAAGTTTTTAGGCAGATTTTTCTTTCTTTTTCTTATTTTTGTAGGAAAATTCTCATTTAGAAGTAAATCAGAAGCAAGTTTTTAGGCAGATTTTCCTGTTTTATAGGAAAATTCTCATTTAGAAGTAAATCAGAAGCAAGATTTTAGGCAGATTTTTTTCTTTTTCTTATTTTTTTTTAAGAAATTTCTCATTTCAAAAATAAGAAATGTAAATCAGAAGTGATTTTTAAATGGAATTTCCCTTCTTTTTCTTTTTTTTTTAGGAAAATTATCATCTTGAAATTAAGATAAACAAATCATTAGTGATTTTTTTGGTGAAAATTTACCATTTCCTTTATTTTCTTCTCATTTTTTTAGGAAATTTTTATTTTAGATTAATGTAAGTAAATTGTTAATGTCTTTTTGGTAAAAATTTACTATTTTTCTTTCTTTTTCTTATTTTTTTTAGGAAATTATCATCTTGGTAAGTAAATCATTGGTGATTTTTGGGGTGGAAATTTACTAATTTTCTTTCTTTTTCTTATTTTTTTAGGAAATTATCACCTTAATAAGTAAATTGGAGATGACTTTTTGGGTAGAAATTTACCATTTTCTTTTCTTTTTCTTATTTTTTTAGGAAATTATCACTATGATAAGTAAATCAAAGGCAATTTTTAGGGTGAAAATTTACCATTTTCTTTTCTTTTTCTTATTTTTTTTAGGAAATTATCACTATGATAAGTAAATCGGAGGTGATTTTTTGGGTGAAAATTTAACATTTTCCTTTCTTTTTCTCATTTTTTTAGAAAATTATCATTTTGATAAGTAAATCAGAGGTGACCTTTGTTTGGATTTTTTTCTTTATTTTTCTTTATATTCTTTAGGAATACACTATAATAAGTTAATCAAAGGTAGTTTTAAGAAGAAATTTTTAACTTATTCCTTTATTTTACTTTATTTTTTTATAAATAAATCTTATATAGATTAATTGAAGTAGACTTTTGAAGTAGATTTTTAATTATTCCTTATTTTTCTTATTTTTTTTAAAAAATCACATTTAATAATTATGTAAAAATAATAAAATTATAAAATTAATAAAATTTAAATAAATATAAATTATTATTATTAATTCCGATTTGATTTTAGGTTGATTTAGGTTGATTGATGATCAAATTTAGATAGTTTTTAGGCCAATTTTAAATAGCTGATTGATGACTGATTGATATTTTCAATTGACTCATATTGTATTAATTGGAATTAATATAAATCAGCTCTAAATCAGTCATCAATCATCCATCAATCATCTGTTTGATTTTTAGCTGATTTGTATTCATTTCGACCAGTATAACAAATTAGTCAAAGATGTTAAAAAAATCAACCTGTACTCATAAATTTCTTAAATCAGTTGCCACCCGCTTATTATCTGAAACTATTAAAAAAATCAAAAATGCTCAGAATAATATTCTATATACTTGATGTATTATGTGTAAAAAATATTATATAAGGATAATAACATATCAAAAAATTATTAATAATTAAAGACTTTCTGAACTGACTAAAAAATGGTATAGAATTTTAGAATCTATTGGTATCTCTAATTAGATTTCAAAAAATAACCAGGAATCTTCATCATCTAAAGATGTGAAATATAATAATTTCTCTTCTACTAACATATAAGAAGATGTGATTATCTATATAAAGGATCCTGCAGATAATGAAAATAACACAAATTTTTATATAAATTCTAATAGTTTGATTATAGTAACTAGTGAAAAAAAAAATAGGATTAGTTAAAAAAAGGTTAGTATAAAGCTGAAAGGTAAATATATTTCTTCAATAGCTTTAATGGAAAAAAATGAAAACAGATATAATTAATATTTGCTAAAGTAAACTGATACATCTAAATAGAAAGCTGAATTTAATAAATTAATAAATATTACTGAAGATATTATTATACATCTGATCTTTTCTCTGCAAGTTAAGAGCATCTTTCTGCAAGAATTTTATCTGCATTTAATATCATATTAAGTTTTCAAGTGTCACTTTTCAAGCTCTTCATACTTTTTCTAGCTTGACTCAACTCAAGATAACTTAAACTTAAAAGTTAAGTAAAACTCAAATTCAAAGTTGAGCTTAAAATCAAGCAAAACTCAAGTCTAAAGTCAAGTTAAACTCAAATAAAAATTTAACAATTTTTTTTAAAGTAAGTATAAAAAAATCATTCCAATAGAATAATATATAGTTAATGACCAAAATTATGCGGACACTTTTTAATCAAAAAATTTATATAAATAAAATAAAGTAGAAATAAAACAAAAGGTAAATTTTATTTATTTTATTTTTATTTATTGATTTTTACAAAAAAAATCATGATACTAATATTTAATTCTATCTCTATTTGCGACAATAATCATGTTGATTCTCTACGATATGCTATCAATTAATTTTTTGTAATATTCTAAAGAAATATCTTTCTAAGCATTTTTAACATTTTTTAAGCTCTCAGATATTAGATAGTGAGGAAGTATGACGTCAAACCATCATTTTCATTTTTGTCCAAAGATTTTTAATTTGATTTAAGTCCAAACTTTAGGCAGGCTATGGAAGTATCACAATTTCAGCACTTTTGCGAGTAGCTGCAGTAATTTTTGAATGATGCAATACAGCATTATCTTCTTGAAAAATTCTATTACCGGAAAATACTTCTGCAAAGTAGAAACAACATATTTTTGAATAGTTTTAGCATATGTTTTACTAGTAACTAAACCATTTAAAGAAACAATTAGTCCAAGTCCATTCCAAGAAAAACATCTCCAAAATATTGCTTGAACTGTGTTTTACAGTGACTGAAATGCAATCAGAATTTAATTCTTCTCCTAGCTCACGTTATACTTTTTCTTGATGATCTTGTTGAAATTGTGTAAAAGTATTCTTATCTAAAAAAGTCACTTTTCTTCATTGTCTTATTATCTATTTTTCATATACGTGAACCTATTCAAGATAAATTTGACAATGTATTTCTGTTATTACAGGTTTTTGATAAGGAATATGAACACTAAATCCAACTTTTTAAGAATACGATGTATAGTAAATGCAGAAATGGGTTTTTTTAAATGAGATGTCCAAACAGTTGAAAGTTTTTTTACATAAAACAGATGATTTTTACCATTTTCTTGAATAAAAGCTTTAAGCTCTTATTGAGATAGTGTATTCAGGAGTAGTAGATACCAGTTTGTTTTTTTAGTGTGAAAGAACCAGTTTAATAAAGGTGTTTAAGTTTATTATAAATAGCTGTTTTATTACATCCCAAATTTTTAGCAATGTTGCAACATGATTGTTCATATTTTTTACTATAAATAATAGCATCACAGGTTTTTAGGATAAGTGTCTTCATAATTTTATAAAGTTTTAATTAAAAGCTAAATAGCTAAAAAATTTTATATTCATATTTATCACTATAAATCAATAAAAAATTGTAATATTTATATCTTGTGATCATATAATGATCTACCTAATTTTGGTAAAAAAAATTGTTCACATAATTTTGGTTGTTGACTGTATCATTCTAAAGAAATAATAGAGGTTTTATTCTAATAGAATAATAAATCTTTATTCTAAAAGAATAATAAAAAAATCATTCTAATAAAATGATGTTTGATCATTCTATCAAAATGATTCTTTTATCATTCCTTAAGAATGATATTTAATCATTTTATTAAAATAATATTATTATTGTTTCTTTAAAACGATGTATAATCATTCTATCAGAACAATTTTTTATTATACTATTGAAATGATTTTTTCATCATTCTATTAAAATAATGCTATTTATTATTTTTTTAAAATAATGCATTATTGTTCTATCAGAACAAATTATCTAATGCATCTTTATTTACTTAATATAACTCAAGTCAAATCAAGTTGATATTTAAAATTTTTTTGACTTAAATAGATTCAATTCAATTTTTTGAGTTGAATTGAATTTACAAAAACTCACTCACCTGACTCATTCAGAATTTTAGTTGGAATAATATATGTCTTATCATGATCCTTTATGCAGAATTAATTTTTTAATTAGATTAAGAATATCTTGAACTTTTCTAATCCACATTATACTTATACATAATATTAGTTCAAATTCACTATTATTAATACGAGCAAAATTTTCAGTAGCTGTGATAATTTTACTATCTTTATCTTTTACACTAATTAGCATATCTGTATACTATCATAATGATTTAGTTATATATTTGGAGTTATCCTTTATAGCAAAATCAAATAGCTTATCAGCTTTTTATCTAAAAGCATTAATTGTTGTATTATTCACTCTTCTGAACTTACTTCTAGAATCTAAAAAGAATTAAAGATTGTTAAATCATTTATATTAGCATTTAAATATTATAAAAATAAAAACCACTCATTTCTTTTTAATTCCTTCTTCTAAGCTTTATATGACTTATACATCTTTCACATTACTAGTAAAAGTTTTGGCAATAACTCATTATATATTTTTAGCTAGTTAGTTACTAGAGATAACCTATCATTTATCAGTTCCTGTTTTTTTTACCGATACATAATACCATCTATTTTTTTCTAATTTGTTATAATATTCCTATTATATTTCTCATTATAGTCTGATGTTTTTCCATATATAGAATTTCTAAATATGTAGATGATTAACATTCTAGAAGTTTATTAAATCGATGATGATACAAAATTAAAAAAAATTATTTGTTGTAATAAAAAAAAGGCATACACTTCTATTATTTATATTGTATCTTCTATTTCATCATTATTAGTTATATTGGAAAGATCCTGAATTTGTTGCAGAATTACCAAAAGCTCATCTTTCTTTTTGATTTTAATTCTTGAAATTGTGATCGATTAGTTTCGTTTAAGGACCCAACTAATGTTTCTATTATAAATATTAGCTTTTCCTTTTCATTGAACTTTCTATTGACTATAGCTGTGCTTCATCGAAAGTAACAAAAATAGGATGAATAAATCCTGATGACTTCGTTAAGGTTAATTTTTCTTTATATAATTAATACGTCGAGCATGAACTAGAATACTAAATGATTTCATTTTATCACTTAACTTATTATCCCTATCTAAACTTTCAAATGATGATTATTTTTATGTAAATTTATAAATCTGATTTTCTTAATTGAATTTGAAAATGTTGTGATTCTGTTGTATAATCAAGACGCGTCTTTAGACCAGTACTTTTAGAATCTGCATATCTGATTACAGCAAATAATATTTTTTGTAATTGATTCTGATATTGAAGAAAAGGTTATTTTATATAAAAAAATAATGAATAATGTATTTAAACCATAATAATATATTTATTCTTACCTCTATAAACTTTGTACAATTCCTTGCAGCTATATCCCAATATTTTTGAACTAGTATAGGTGGTATGAGCGTCTTTAACATCTTATTCACCTCTTCAAGTATAAAATTTAACTCCTGATACTAGTTTGATTATCCCGATCATGACATGACCACATTTTGTTCAATAATTTGACAAATTTTAGGATGAAGACACATTAGTTGTTTTTTATTGGCTACCTCAATTGCTTGATAAATAGGATGTCACCTAGCGGACTAAATAGAAGCAAATATTCTACATGCAGCTGATTTGAGTAAAGATTAATTGGTTCTAACTCCAGTATAAAAGTTTATTATGGCTTATAGATACCAAAAGATCTAAAAAAATTGATTTAAGTATTAATGTAAAATTTTGAGAATCTTGGTCATTAATATACTTATTCATATTTTAATTTATATAATTCATCTTTTGACTTTTAGCCCATTTGAGAAACCCACTAACAGATGGATTAGAAACTAAATAAACATAAGGCTAAACCAATTCTATTGCTATTGCATGCTGGTAAATATTACATATTAAATCTCACGCCTTATAATAATCAGCACATTTCTTAATTCTTAAAATAACCTAGCTGATTTTCAGTTCTATAGCCTTGACATTGTGCAAAATATTTTAGATTAATGTTTCTAAATTTTCATATATAGATAAAAGGTTATCAATAGAAATATTTCTAGAAAAATTAATATTAATGATAATAATACCAATTTAGCTTTACAAAGGCCTTTAACATATTCATCTTCTCATGAAGTGAATCTGGTACTAAGAGTATTCCTGGGTAATCCTTTTTGAATTTTTGCACATAATGGTAAGGAACTCCATCATAAACTACTATTATTCATTTTCGATCACCATTGTTAATTTCACTAATTTCTTGAATATGATCTAAAATTTTACAAACATTAGTAATAGAGTTTAGATTTATTAGTAAAGGATCTGGAATATGAATATCAGGTATATGTAAATTTTTATAGGATATTGATTATTGTGTTATACTAATCAGATTTGTATGTTTGTCAGAGATATTTGGTTCAAATTTATGAGGTTTAAAAATAAAGAATTTAGCAGAATCTTCTTCAGAAATTATTTTTTCAATTTCTTGTTAGGTTTTAGCGAGTGTGAGGAGTTTTGCATTACATTGAAAACATTTATGCTTGAAGTTTTCAATCTCATCTTTGCTGCATTCATAACAATACTTTTGTTTACCTATATTTAAATTCTGTTTAGCAATTAGATTATCAATATGATTTATATTTTCATTTTTTTCTGTATATACATCAGTTAAGATAATGGATAGATAATCATTAAGCTATTGATCAAGTAATGTTTGCATTTCTGGAATGAGATCAAATAGTTTTTGAATTTGTAATATATTAAGAGTTTGATGTAACCAAGGATTTTCAAACTCTGTATTTGACTAATAGAATTAAAATTAAATAAAGCAAAACTTGTAACAATATGAAAAATGACAGTATTATATTCACAATCTAAATAAGTTTTTTGTCTTTTTTGTTTATTATCAAATGCTATAAATAATAATCCTTTTGGAAATAATTCTGGTTCACCCATTAGATTTTCTTACCATTTGATGAATTTGGTATAACTATCCGATACTTGTGATATGATTATCAATATTAATAATGGTTTTAGATTTTGCTATAGAATACTTGACTGCTGATACTGCTAAATTAATAGCAGATACATATTTTAAATGTCTTGCCCCATAAATCATATCAACTATTTCAGCATATTTAAAAAGATTTTCTCCTTCAATTTTATTTTTGTTATCATAATTTGTAAGAGATTCTATAAATTTAACAATAACTGGATTACGATCATTAAGTCATTGAGAAATTGAATACTCTAAAAGATTATCTAAACTGAATCGCTCCTGATCATTTATTAAATTAATAATATCATTATATACATTTTTACGCTCTTTTTGGGCAATTTCTATCACAGCTGCAACACGTTTCATTTGATCATCAAATTGAGTATCCTATCATTCTTTTAATACCTAATTTTCAAATGATAAGTCTTTAATTTGAGATTTTAATTCACTAATATTTTGCTGATTTTTATTGATTACTTGCTGATATTCATTTATAAGTTTAATATCTTGCAGCCGTTAAAATTCAAAAGCAGATAAGTCTGCTTTATTCTGAGATAATTCTAATAAAAGGCTATTTACATATAGATCTGGTAAAGAAACCTGAATTCCAATTTCACTAACAGCTTTTTTATTCTGATTCATCATTGATTGAGATATAATATCATCAATTACCAGCAGTTGAGATACATCATCATCAATAGTATTTTGTGATCATTTATATTGATATAAGAAACAATTAGCATATCTACTATTTTTAAATACACAAGAAGTTGGTTAGTAGCAATTATTTGATTATAATGTCATTCATAGAAGGAATAATTCTCTAAACGTTTACTTAATGATACTAATTCTGGAAAATACTTAGCGAAGAGATCTATTCATTCAAATACTGCTTTACCTGATGCATGTCATTATTGTTATTTCTGTTTGGTTTCGCATAATACCAACTTGCTTAAATTCGAATACTTTTCAGTAAGAGCAGCAAATAAGCATGATAAAGTATTAGCCTGTGATCTTGTTTTTATATTCACTAAAGGCAAAAAAATAAGCAAGAGTTCAAATTTAAGATAAAGTATACTTTAGTCAGTTTTGTGGATTATGAATAAAGGTCAATAGATTATGAAAAAACATACTTGAACAAATTTATTCTAATAATTACTAATAAGCTAGCATATAGTTTTTCTAGAAACCTTCATCTACAAATCTATGACTTTTAAGAACTAATCAAAAATTTCGAACATTTGATTTCTTTGATTAATATTTGGTTATACAAAATCTTTTTTAGAAATCATCTAGACTGCATTATCTGAATCTAAAAGTATAGATTGGGGTTTAAAA